AGTTTAGTCAGGATGTCGTGGGTCTTGTCCCAACTTCCATCGTTATCAGTTAGAGTCTTCATAGATAGTCAGTATAGTTGAAAGGTCTGTATTATTCATTTATTTTGTTAAATGTTTTAAAGACTTAAGTTGCCAATTTTGGGGCGAGTTGAATATCTTTTATTATTCAGAGTTTTTCAGTTGAGTTAAACCTTTGTATTTCAGTTTCATGAATTTTATTCAGTTTTTTAAGCTTTGTATGCTTGAATCAGTTTTCCGCTTGTAGTCAGCCAGGATGAGGGTTCACTTGGGGACCAGCAATGGTTCTCGAGTGCCGGCCACGTCCAGGGTGTAGGCTTGGGTCGTGACAGTTGGGTTGAGCATTTTCAGGCCCTTTCAAATGAAGGGCCGGCCCGCCCTAGCTCATCAAATTTCTTGGCCCACGAGGCTTGGACCGGGTGGGCTGGGTTGACCGTTTTTGACAACTCTACATTGTAGTAAGCAAATTCAAGCAGTAAAATTTTATTTTAAAATAAAATTATCAACTTCTAGCAATAAGTTTATAGTTTTAACTTATTATTCTATTTTAAAATTTTGGCATTGGTAACTTATATTATATATATATATATTCACATATAGGTATATACTATCTTTTAATTATTTATTAGAATTCAAATTCATTAATTAGAAAATATGAATAACATTACGCAAAACTAAAATAAAAAAGAGAAATGAATTTAAATACAATTAAGAATGAGATCCTAAGATAATGTTTTAAGAAATATTTAATAGATATATTGTGAATAGTAAAAGAATTATTAGAGAAATAATCATATCAAGAAAAAAGACGATTACTAACTTTTAGCTCAAAAAGTTAAAAAACCACTTTAAAAGACGTGAGGAATTTATTTATTTTTTCAAAAAAAATGAAGTAAGGCCTCTTATAAAGTTTATGTTTAGGCCACAAGTGCCATTTTATCTGGTCTTCGCACGATTACTACGTGTCAATTATATTTGAATCCAATTATACGATGATATATATAATAGGCCTTAAATACTTTTATCATTGTATTTTCCTACACGACTCATGAGGAGGAGGATTTTGCATTAGATTTTGCACGCATGAAGGCAGAGGGAGGAAGGGACATTGGGTAATAGGGGAGACTTAGTAGGCAAGTCAGGAGGGGATGGGGAAGGGAAGGCTAGAAATTTCACTAGTTTTAAAAAATAATGTTGTTGACTCCCTAATTGGAGACTCCACAACATATCATTGCCTTAAACACATTAGATCTCAACCTCAAACAACTCTTTCTTCTCTCAACTTCCAATGGCGTATCAGTTACACCATCACACAACATCAAACACAAGTTCGATGCTTATACCGTCGACGTGAGGGTGCAAAAAGACGAAACCATCTTTCTTTATATGTCAACTTTATTCAATTCTTTGTGTATATGTTTTACGGCGGAGAAACCCTAGTCCTTTAAGGTGATTCCATCGACTAGTTGCATCATGTCATCAGAGAATCCAACGAATCACTGAAATTCGATCAATCCAATTGACCTTCAGAGTATCATCTATGGAGCATCGATTACTCTATGGTGGGATACACCTTCATTTTCTCCAAATGATATTAGAGAGTGATATCCAAAACGCCGACACCCTGCAACTCTTTGGGAAAATGTGAAGCAGACACCATCCTCAACACGTCAAGACTGGTAAATGAATTAAACTCACGTATTCATGACCTATGCAACTGCATCTCCTAGTATTTATTTACACTTCTATTTTCAGGGGCTCTGACAAAGATTTATATATTTCCTTTTATATTTGAAAACAAGTTGCTCATGGATGCATTTGTCAATTTATAGATTTATGTAAGACACTTTTCCCCAACCCATAACTATATATAGGGAGTGTGCTTGTAACAACCTGAGCCATCGTTATTCAAAAGACATCTTGTGCGGAGTCTCGAGAATTCTTGTAATACGACGTGCCAATTTAAAATTGGGATGACATAAAAAAAATCTAAGAATTTGAAAATAAGACTCCGACTGATGTCATCCCTCCATAGTGGGAACTTTCCCGCTATGGCGGCGTGATGGCCGCTATAGCAGGGTCAGCGGGGCAGAAACTCAGAAACACAATTTTTTTTAATTTCTCTCTTTCTCTTTAGTGGTAAAACAGACGAAGGTTACTTAAAAAATCCTCAAAAAAAACTGCTCTAATTTTGGGGACAGGGGAGAGGAGGGATTCTAGTGCAAGGTGGGTCATACCCACAATTTTTTGGTCTATGACCTTGAGGATTCTCCCCTACGGAGCGTCGTGTTCAGAGTTCTTCAGTGGTTAATTTGCATCCATATAGGCTAGGTTTTAAATGAGTAGCTAAATCTATCTTCATTTACTTTATACCTTGTAAATTGTCGGAATTACATGTATAAGACTTCGATCATGGAGTCTGTATGACTTAATATGGAGTTAGTTATGGTTTAAGATGATAACGAATTTGATTAACTAATGTTAACCTTGTGATGATTTTGGGTGGGATGTTGAGGGAAAGTGAGTGGTGTGTAATCGGGTTCCAAGTGGAAAACTATCTGGAAAGAGTGTCCGGGTGTAAGTGATGGTTGTTGTTTCCCAAGTTTATTTATGTATGCATTCTGACTATCTCTATAGTGAAACTTGTATAATGCATGTTGGGGGAATTATATGGGCTTAATGTGAAGTGATGAATTATTGACTATCTCATGCGATGAAGGTGTTTAGTTTACTTGTTTTTACAAGTGTGTTTGTATTTCATTGTGATTTTGGTTGTGTGTGTGAGATTAATGGTTGGCTCGAGTACCACTTTTGGTACAGGATATTCCCATGGTTGGCTCGGGTACGTACCACGCTATATGGTTGGCTTGGGTACCACGCGAGTACAAATTACTAATGGTTGGCTTGGGTAGCACGCCTTGTACATTTTTTATTATCCTTTTGTATGTGGTTTCATGAGAGAATCATGTTTACTTCTTCTTAATGTGATTGTTACATGTTTGTCCGTGAGTGGCCTCGATTTGTATTTAAATACTGGGATGGTTCCTGTTTAGATCGGGATTACATGTTAAACACTGTAGATGATATCTTAGAGATTCTTGGTGGTATGCGTTACTTGAATGATTTGATGAATCAACTATTTCTTGTTGTAGCGTCGTTGATCATGTTATTTGTGAATGTTAAGTCCATGTGGATTTGAACCCTGGTCTCAAGGGTGGTATATACAGCTTGTACCAGTAGCACAAGGGCACTTTTATGTTTATCATGGGTGCACTATTAAGTATATCCTAATTTCTACCAATTTTTCAAAATAGATATACATATATACATATGATTTTTTCAAAAGTTACCGGGTGCACGTGCACCCCTTCTCCATAGTGTGGGTCCACTTCTGGATTCAGTGCTATGGTCAGAGAAAGTAAGTTCAGGTGTTGAAGTTCTATATATTGTCTTGTTTGAAAATCATAGTCAAGTATGTTGACCCTATTCCCTGTGTTGTTCAATAACCTTAAACACATTGCATTAGTCCGGGCATGAACTTGTTAATCTGATTTTCTGCTGCTAGGACCTATTGTTGTCTCTATTCTGCAGGACGTTATGTGTGGTTGCCCTTCTGCAGTTAATGAAATAACTCTGGCACTGGTTATGGCTCTGCCGCATACATTTACTATGAGCTCTCGAACTATCTGAGTTTCAAGGATTGGTATGTGCTTTTCATGCTTGAAATATTGCTGAATCAAATAGCTTTGACCCCTCAGACATGTTTGGTATTTTCTATCCTCTTACTATCTTAGCAACGGCATCTGAAACAAGGTGATAAAATATGAAGCATGTGTTATCCTCACACGTGGAGGCTGATGAATGAATTGGACTCGCTTATTCATGACCTATGCAACTGCAATGATTAATACAAATATCACTCATATGACCAAGATGCTTAGCATGTTTCTCACAACGACCCCAAAGGATGACACAAGTAGGTCTATGGAAATCTTCTAGTATTTGTAAATTCCTCTATTCCTGTTGCTCTGGTAAAGGTTTATATGTCTCCTTCTATATTTAGCAAACAAGTCTTCATGGATGCATTTGTCAATATATAGATTAAAGTAAGACACTTTCCTCAACCCCGTATCGTATATAGGCAGTGTGTTCCTATATTGTTAGAAAATCAGCAATTAGTTTTTTTCTCTCTGTATATATTAATCACAACTTTATTAGTCTTTTTCCATTTCTTTGTGTCTGTGTCGACATAGAAAAAATCGCCCCTCATCCTAAACGCAACGGAAACAACTCTCAGCAATCGGTGGTGAATGTAGTGGCAGCGGCTCAGTCCACTGAATACCCCTCCAACCATCTCCTTGAGCAGTTGCAGATGTTCTTAGCCTACCAACGCCAGGAATCGAGCATCCAGAAGATCATAAAAGCTGACAAGGATATCTGCATGATCTCCATTGAAGAACCATTTTGTCTGCCAAAACTTGTGAGCTCTTCATTCTTGATCTCACCATTCATTCCTGGTATCATGCTGAGGAAAACAAGTGACGGACTCTGCAGAAGAACGACATCACTGCTGTAAGTCTTGATGGTGGTTCTTGAAATCGCTAAGCTGCTCAATTTCCTAGATCTGGTAGGTCCAGAATATCCCCATCTGTTCTTTCTGCTGCTCAAAGAGATGATTGTAGGGGTACTCAGCAGACTGAGCTACTGCCACTACATTCACCGTTGATAGCTGAGAGTTGCTTTACATGGCGTATTGGACGAGGGGAGATTTTTTCTATGTTAACACATACACAGAGATATGGAAGAAGTAAACTAATTACAGATTTTCAAAATCTGATGAAGGTATATGTGCTGATGCTTGAAGTACAGTACAACTACTAGCTGTAGGCAAATTAGGGGATGCATAAACATGAGAAACTCACACACATTACTGCCTGATAACCGCATAAACTCAGTTGATCACACACTCTATTCTAAAGCACGTGATTACCTTGTTTCCAAGGCGTGAACAAATGGAAAAGCATTCTGCAATGTCAAAACATTTTAAACATCATAAACACCAACAACCCCTCTCAGAAGCTTACAAAACTCTAACAATATAGAAGCACACTGCCTATATACGGTTACAGGGTAGGGGAAAAGTGTCTTAGATGAATCTACAAATTTACAAATGCATCCATGAGCAGCTTGTTTGTTAATATAGTAAGAGGCGCATAGAGCTTTACCAGAGCCGCAGGATCAAAGGAGTGAACAAATATTAGGAGATATTCTTCAGATTTACTAGTGTCATCCTTTGGGATCATTGTGAGAAACATGACAAACATCTTCATCATACGAGCGACATTGGTATTAGTATTAGTTCGCTCAGTAATGACCTTTTCCAGTTCATGAAGGAGAAAGGCCATCATCTATCAATTATGACCTTTTCCAGTTGTTAAGTCTATATGATATGATTATTGTTGGTCTTTTGTTTTGTAAAGTTGACAATATTACCTCTTCCCTGGGGAAGACAATTGGGTTTGGCCTCTCTATAATTCTAACTTTTAGGTTGCCTCAAGTACTTGCTAACTTGATCAGATTATGAGGTATTTGATTGAATTTGTAATCATGAGATTTATGTATGTATTTCCTTTTAATCATTATCCTAATCTGATATATATGTTATTGCGCAAAGTGGATTTAACATAACCATCCCTGATGAACTGGAGACTACGTGCAGGCATGTTCTATAACTATCGACTTAAGACATAACTTAATCGCTTTAAACATGATTTCAAACTTGAGAAATGATTTGATATACCTTTATTTATGAGACGATGGTTTTGAAAGAATTAAACTAGTGAGTCATTTTCAATCATTTGTGTTTGTCCTATGGGCAAGTTGTGTTATTCTAGAGGACAAATAAGCGTTATAGATCTTAATGAATCACCTTCAATCAACTTGTGTCAGTACATAGAGAGATTTACCTCTTCGGGTTAATTACCCCGATGAAACAAGAATTCTTAAAAGTATGACTCTCCCGACTTGATTCTCTTGGAAGTGTGGCACCTGATTGACTTGATTCGCCTTAAAGTATGACACCATATTGATTTATTTTTTCCTTGAGTTGTGTTTACTTATTGATAAGTCCTCTATTTGACATGATTGTTGAGCTATTTGACTCAATTTATGCCTTAAATAGTTTGACAAGACTTTTGAATAAAATGACTTGAAATTGATAAAAAATTTCATCACCGACGATTTTAGTAAGTTTCATGATTTACTCTATCATTGAATTTTAATTGTTTTACAATAAGTTGCATGTATTATTTTAGATGAATTTCTGTCCCAAGGCACTCAGTGAGTACCCAATACTCAGGCATACCACCAGTGTGTTTGGTGATATGTTAGGTATAGGAGAGGAGCAGATTTCTAAGGATTGCATTGCTTAGGAGGGACTTGCATCAGATAAACTATTGGTGAGCCCACATTCTTACTCATGAGACTCCCTACTTTTCTGCTTTATTAAATTTTTGAGTTTCGTCTGGAGTTAGAAATTAATCTTTAATAGAGGCCTCATGGATAGATGTTGTGTCGTGGTTACTAAATGAGTCATTATTGCTTTCCATATGAGACATACTATTTCGCTAAGTTGATTTATATATCATAACTTTTGCTTTATATTTATATTATTATTTCTTTTAGTAATTTGTCTTAATGATGCATAAATTGGCTAATAACCCTAAGTAATTAGTAGAGAAATCGCGTGACTGTCATATCTCTAAGGTGCTTCCAATGTGATTTTTTAGAGCATTGCGCTTATTGTGTCAGGGTCAGGTTTGAAGTGTGACAAACTTGATATCATATCTTAGGATTAGGAGTATCTTGAATCTATCTGTCGAGTTGTGTCTAGTGGAGTCATCCTCTTAAATCATGATCACATGTATGACTAAAATACTCCAACGACATAAATATATGTTTTTCATTCTCTTGATTCTAGATTCTAAATGCTGAAAATTGGTGGAGTGACCGACTCCAAACTGATACATGAAGGTTGTACTAATTTGATGAACATGCCTGCATATTAAGGGTGTGTTTGGTATGAAGGAGAAAATGTTTTCCAATTTTCTCATGTTTGGTTGGATTAAATGTTTTGGAAAATGTTTTCCAAATCAACTCATTTTCCTCAAATTTAAGGAAAATAACTTTCCTTCAAAACTTAAGGAAAACATTTTCCAAAACTCTCTTCCAACTTTAAATTACAATTATTTTTTGTTGAAAAATTCAATTTATTTTGTCCCTACCCTCAAACCAACCCCCCAAAAAAAAATTAAAAAAATTTAAAGTTTACTTTTCAATTCAATTTTTTTACCCCACCCTCACCCCTA